CTTAAAAAAAGAGATATGGTGTTACATTTGAAGTTGTAGTGTGACATTTCAGTTTCGATTTATTTTTACATTTGAAATATAAATATGTACATATTCATTGTAATAGTTATATTCTGTAGTTATTTTTAACGTTACTGCCTGACATTTGAAGCTGCTATGGTGGAATGGGAAAATACTAAGTTTGCATTTGATCGAACAACAAGGGGTTCGATACGGCGATATAAAGAGTCACTCGTATACTGGGAAGTAACCCAAACGTATCCTTAATTTAGTATTTTGAATCAACAGTTACTTCCCTTTGTTTACAATGGGCGATTATCCCACTTCTTTTCTCTTTAAACAGTCCTTTGAATAATAATATCTTTTTGCTTTTATGTTATGGAATAAATTTCTTCTCATTTTTCCTTTGAGATTTTTCTTATATTGTAATGACATAAAACGACCCCAGTTCAAGAATGCTGAGTACGGGATTCAAACCACATCCATCCGCTTCGTAGTTCATCACGATACAAACTGAGCTAATGGGCTATCAGTGAAGACGTTGGGTTTCGGTGTGGACGACCCAGGCGTAAAGGGGTTTTGGATATCGGTTACCTGAAAATGACAGGTCAGTTTGTTGGTGCTCGAGCGCTTAATCTGCTGCTTGCACTGTGTGCTTCCCGAATGCCGTAAATATTTTTTAACGTTCTAGGGTCTGCTGGGGTAATCATCATCTTTACTAGCAGCGTTATAGTCATTTGGAAAAGTTACTTTACTGTCTAATGTCTCTTTCGGCCTAAGATGGACATTAATGTATGGCTACCGTTTTGGTTAAAACTCAATCTCCAAAAGCAGCAAGAAAAACAACAACAACAAAAACAACAACAACAACAACAACAACAACAACAACAACAACAACAACGACAACAACAAAAACAGTAACTACAAGAACAACAATAGCCTCAAAAGAAACAATCCAGGATAACATTATGATCAGTATCAACACCAACAGCAGGTATCAAAGCCTCCACCACCACCACCACAAACAACAACAACAACAACAACAGCAACAACAACAACAACAACAACAACAACAAGCCAACAACATCAAAAATAATAAATAGCAAGTCTCTTAATTTCCCTGCTTACCCAGCTGAGGAACTACTCAACCACTGTTCCATAAGAATCTCTCATTCTTTACGGA